TTCCTTACTGGGACCTCTTCCCTAGTCTCAGATACATAGATCCCATGGCCTTTGAAGCACCTCAGTTGGGATTTCTCATGGCATCTCAGATCCAGTGGACACCATCTGAACTCTTTGTTTTCTCCAAGCTTTATAGATCCCTTAGCAAGGTATCCAAACCATTATCTTAATGTCATCTTTTCTTTCTTTCCTTCACATCTGAAATACAGCAGATGAACTCATTTCTAAGTTCACTGTATCAGATTTCTAAATGCATTCATTCAAAATAGATCAAATCTGATGCCCCATCAGCTCTGCAGTTACCAAAATGGTCTAAGGGCTTTCTTATCTGGGCTGTTACTGCAGTTTTCAGACTAGCCTCCCTACTTCTACTACTGTCACCCTGAGATTTATTCCCTTCTGTTTATACTTCTGGAATCTCTCATCTCTCAGAGTAAAATGCAGACCCTGCCCATAGTTGATAAGGGCCTGGTTGGCATATGTGCTTGTTATCTTGCCATTTTTAAAAACATACCAGATGGATTCCTTTGCATGAGCTCTTCTCTTTGCATGGAATGCCCCCTCCCTACTTCACCACACAGGCTTTTACTTCATCCAGATACCTTTCAGCACTTTTTACTTGCCCTGCTCCACTTTCCTTCAGAGAAATAATAAATTCTCCCAGAGCCCTATTACATGCTCTTTTGTTTGTTTGCTGACTATATGCATTAGAATGTGAGCTTATAAGTTTGTTTGCTTGTCAGCTGCTAGATCTCTAGACATGTAACAATGCTGGGGACATGATAGGTGATATAATGATTTGTCTAGTGAAAATAATTGAGATGGAAAGTAGGTACGTAGGTAGAGTGATTGTAGTGCTATCAACTTGATATAATTTAGAATACCATGGGCCTCTGAATGTGTGTGGACATAATGATTTGTCTAGTGAAAATAATTGAGATGGAAAGTAGGTACATAGGTAGAGTGATTGTAGTGTTATCAACTTGATATAATTTAGAATACCATGGGCCTCTGAATGTGTGTGGAGGGCTATCTTGATTATATTAACTGAGGTGGAAAGAGGTATGTGCTGTGGGTAGTGCCAGTTCCAGGGTTGGGATCCTGGAGTTCATGAAAAAGAGAAAGTGAGCTATACACAACATTCATTGCTCTCTGCTTCCTGACTGTGGATGCAGTGCGTCCAACTCCTTCAAGCTCCTGTGACTGCCACCATGGACCATTATACACCCAAATAAAGCCTTTCACCCTCGAGTCACTTTTGTCAGGGTATTTTTATCACTGAAGCAAAAAAGAAACAGCTATCCAAGTGAGAGACCTTTAAATTTTAAGTTATTAGGCATCATCCACATTAGAATTAAATGTATGAGCTATAGTATAGGTAAATATTTGATATATTAAAGAGACATAGTGTTCAAACAAAAATAACTAGTGCCCTCTTGATTTCAGAAAGTAAAAAGATGATTACACATTAAAAATAGAGCATGAAAAACCTAAGACACATACACAGACATGCTTTTCAAGGCAATCCCACTAACACAAAGTTTTCTTTTAAAAATGGGAAGCTTGTTCTACTATTATCTACCAATAAAATTTGAGACATTTATTAGAAAACCATACTATTCTCTCAGAAGGCAGCCCTCTCTGGGGGACTGCTTTAAAAGAACTGCTGTGGTTTAAGAAATAAACCAGAAGTGTATACAGATGCCCATTTCCTGCAATTGGAGTGATTTGCCAAATTGTAATATTAGTATTTAGAAAGACTCTGTTGTAAGAGTATGGTAATATTAGTGAAGAAACCATTTTTCTGTTGCTTAAAAATAAAGGCATTTCAAATTGGGGAAGCCAAAGCAGTGTGTTTGCAGTTACTCTGAAGTGCAGGATTCACACTTGAAGACATGGATAATAGCTGTCCTATTTCACTACTGTTTAGGCTATGCTTATGTCCATCATGTGTGCTTTTATATACTGCATCCATACAAATCTTTTGCAATTCTTCCCCTTCCTCTTTCTCAGCAGTTTAGACTTCCTTCCCAGATGATGTGCTGGAGTGCCACTTTCCTGCTCTATGCCGTGATTTCTCCTATGCCCAGGATTTGGAAAATTGGTGCACAACCCAGAATTTTCCCTATAATTGTCTATTTATAGTCATGTTCCCATATTTTTTCTTTCTTTAATTTTGAATGATCTTCAAATTTGTTGAAGTTTGAAATATTATGTTCAAGCCAAATATTGCTCATCTTTTATTTAAGTCAAGAAGGAGGTGCAATTAAATTCATCTAGTTCAACCCAACAAGCAAATATTAAACATATGGACAATCCCATTGGGCACAGCAATAGGTGTCTCAGGAGAGAGGGTACTGTGAGTTCTTAGCAGATGAATAGGTCATGAGACAAGGTGGGAAACACTGAGAAAACTCTTAAATCTAAGAGCACAAGTAAGAGGTATGCTATGTGGGGTTGGAGGTGTTTCTTCCCATTCTGCATTAAAGAAACCTTCTTGGAGTGTTTTTTTTTTACTTTGTTCCAGGACTTTGTTAAGCACGAGGAAATTATTGATGTGAAGTGGATGTGTGGTGATACATTATTTATGATTTATTAAAGCTTGCCTGAGGGTCCAGGAAACTATACTAGCCACAAGCCATAGAGGTCAGGCAATGAAAACATACACCTTTAATCCCAAAAACCATACTAGTTGGCCTCAGGTGATGGTGGCACACACCTTTAATCCCAGGACTCAAGAGACAAGCAGATGTATCTCTGTTAGTTCAAGGCCACACTGAGCTACATGAAACTGATCCAGTATAAAAGAGAAACAGCTCACATAAAGGTGATCACAGCACCTGGGATCACAAGCCTTTAATCCCAGCACTAAGGAGGTGGAGACAGAAGTGATATGGCTGGGCAGAGAGAACTATAAGGAAGAAGCAAAGCCTTAAAGATTTAGTCTACAGCCATATCAAGGAGAGGCAGCAGTCTAGAATTGCAGTCTGAGGATTCTTGGAGCTGGCCAGATCACTCTTTCGGTCTGAAGTAGAGGTAAGAGTTAGTGGCTGGCTTCTTTGCTTTTCTGATCTTCAGCTCGAAGCTTGAACCCCATTATCAGTCTCTGGGTTTTTATTTTTCTTGTTACAAGGGTGTGATCAAGGAAGTAACTTTCAGTGTCTGATATGAAATTGGAACGTGAGTCTGATGGACTGTTTTTGAAAGGGTAAATAGTTGGAGCATGTCTGAACCAAGTCCACATCTTGGTCCAGACCTGTTTGATGAATGCCAGACCTATGTATCCAACACTAAACAGCTGCACACTGAAGCCCAGAGGAAATCTAACAACATGCCCTGAGCAGAGCTCATGCCTGCTGTCCTCCCTGGTCCTTCTTCCATTCCTTATGAGGCTGTACTCCCCTTTCTGTATAGCAGCAACCAAATTTTCTAAGACCGAAACAGTCTTGATTTGCTTTCCCCATGTTTAAGCCAGAAAGTTCATGGTGCTGGTCCTTTGGTACCTCCTGCTGTATGTTCCCAGGTGCAGCCTTGTGCTGAAGTACTCAAACCTGGATCCTGAGTGCCTGGTTTCCATCTGGGCATTTGCACCTTCTTGACCAGCACCTCAGGGAGATTTTGCAACATTTCCTCGGCCAGTCTCCTGATTTGTAAACTTAGGTCTTCCTCATAGCTTTAGCCAGTGGTGTAAGGACCAAATGTGCTGCCCATGGGTTGTACTCAAGAGCTCACACAGAGGGACTGCCCCACAAGGCAGCTTAGACTATGTTCACTCCTTGCCTGGATTCCTGAGCCAGCCAATTCACTGACCTCTTAGCTTTAAACTCTAATCCACTCAAAGCCATTTTCCAAAATGAAGCCAAAGAAACCTTTCTAAAATGAAAATCTGTATTTATTCAAAATAACATGTTTGCCTTAGTAATGAAGTTTAGATTTCTTACCTTCTCTTTTCCCAGGGCTGAGTGTGGCTCTTCACCTGTATGGCTGCCTCTTCTGCACTCACACTGGACACTCCATCTGCACCAACACACCTGTTCATCCATAGCTCTAAACTGCACACCTTCAAACATATTATTGCTTTAAAGCACCTTAGCTCCTTTTAGCATGGCTGAATATTATTTACAATGTACTTGTTAAGCATAAAGAACATACAAGATAGGGATTGAGATCACTCATACAAGAGTGAGCTGCGCCAAATACTGATGCTGCTAGTGTCCGGTGAGGAACATATGGGACCAATGGACTCAGAACATCATTTCTTTAATAGCCACTTACTAAGAGTTGCTAATATTTGTAGTACTTCAATTCCTATGAGCACCAGTTCTCTCACATGTAAGAGTTTCAAGTTCATTTCCTCAAACAAATTGGTAATTAGGAAATCTAGTTTAGATAACATGTAGAAAAGGCAACCAGTTCAAACTTATTTGAGTCCACTTGAAGAGGGAAGTTATAAGTAATCTATCAAGTGCACTGCCCCCCTTCTTATATGGATGAAGAAACTACATGTAGACCGTGGTGGTGGGGGAGTTTGAACTCTGTGTCTTTATGAGAAATGTGTTTTTCATAGAATACATACCCTTCACATTCCTAGACATCTCACAGTCTTTCTGGAAATGGACAGACTCGTTCCATCCTGAGGGGAATGTGGTACCTAGCAGCCGGGCTTTCACCTAAACATCCAGTGGGATGGGAGAGAAAGAGCACCACAAATGTCCAGCCTTTTGTGGATAACGGCTTTACAGTGCATGTCAACATGGTGCATATAGTTAGAGATGTCTGTAGGGTTCCTGGTCAAAGGAATGAAATTGCTATGGTTAATGATTTGCTGCATACTGTAATTCACAATTCTAAGAATATTAGACACAGAGAGCAACACAACAAATATGCCCTAATATTATTAGGAAAAGACCAAATATAGAGCTAATTTATAAAATTTCATTTTCTTCTCAAAGACAAAATTTTACCTAATCTAAAATATGTGTGAGCACATTATTAATTAATGATTGAAGTATATCTCAATGCTGATTTCTCTCCCAATTGTAGCACATACCACAAAGCTCTGCCCTTTATAAATTGAGCTGGAGTAAAACTCACTAGGGTCATAACACTTGCAGCCACTATCCCAATCTAGTACTTTTGTAGAGATGCAATTAATACAAAATAAAGGAAAACAGAGAAAAAAGACACCATGTGGATTATTTTCAGAATTTTAAAATTTAAATGTAGCCAAGACAGAATCTTGAGCAACCCATGTTCAATTAGAATTGAAATAAAGACACAGAAAAAAAAAGATATTCACTCAATTTTCTCTTGAGAATTTTCGAGAAAAATCAGAACACAGTTTCCCTACTTGCAAACTGCTAGTTTCTAACCCTCTCTTCTCTAACCCACTCCTCCCTAACCCGCTCCTCCCTAACCAACTCCTCTTTCTTGACCTTTACTTAGAGGAAGCAGATGAAAAGGGAAATAACCGCTTACTGCCACTCATGTAATCTCTCTGAAATGTATTTTGGCTTGTGACCTTTAAATTATGGGATAAATAGAATGAATCACATCTCTTGTTATAGACCTGATCTCTGGGTCATGATATGTTTGCTTTTCATCTGTATGAAAATGCTTTAGACTGCTAGTGGTCACCGAATAGGTGAAGTTGGGTGAAGAACGGGCAGTTGCCAATGAGTCAGACCAGGCCTGAAAGGATCATATGAAAGGGAAGTTGAGAAGCAATGGTATCCTTGAGAGAGATGGTAATTGCAGGTTGTCTTGTTCCTCTGTGCTATGTAGAAGGGTTCAAGGACACTGCCAGCAAACCTAGACCTTGAGGGAAGCGCCCCTGCACCCAGGCAATATGCTGGAATTGCATTGTGTAGAGGTGGCTGGGAAAATAGGGTTTGAAATGGAACAAAATGTCTCAGGTCCCCCGACATTTCTCCCACTAGAAAGGGATGTTCTGCAAATACCAGTATGACACTAGGGATGATATCCCAGGAAAACACCAGAACACTTTTAGAATTTTCATTACCAAGCTGTTTTATTTAATAACTTGAGCTATGTTCTAACTTCCAGAGATATCAGTGTTTCTCAAATTCTAATGTTATTTACACAGATATAAAAGTTAATAATCTTGACAAGCTTATTTTTTCTTAAAATCAAAATTTTACAATGTTTTCCTGCGAACTCCCCAGATTACTCAGTGCCTTAGTCAGCATGCGAAGGGAAACATGTCTAGGTAAATGCAGGAACTCCCTGATCGCAACTGTTCAAAACAATAAAATGCTGGGTCATACTGTGCCACTTCTGTTGCCTGTAGATATTGACGAATGTGGAACTGGAAGACACAGCTGTGCCAATGACACCATTTGCTTCAACTTGGATGGTGGCTATGACTGCCGTTGTCCCCACGGGAAGAACTGCACAGGGGATTGTGTGCATGATGGAAAGGTCAAACACAACGGCCAGATCTGGGTGCTGGAAAATGACCGGTGCTCTGTGTGCTCCTGCCAGGTTGGTATGAATGAAAGGATTTGCTTGGGTTGTAATTTTCACACATTTGAAGTGTTTGGATTGACAAGTGTTGACAAATGTGTGCAACCATTTAACCAAAATGACAGTTACTATAACAGAGCATTTCCATTAATGCAAATGTTTTCTAGGTCTTTTCTAGCTAACCTTTTCCCTCCCACTCTGCCTGGAATCAGACCAACACAGCTTCCAATTAAATAATGATTATAATTAAGTTCATATCTTCCAGAGCCTCACATATTGGAATCAGACAGAATATGTTCTTTGTGCCTGGCTTCTTTCATTTTCAATGTTATATTTTCCATCTTTATTATATATATATATATATATATATATATATATATATATATATATGTTGCTGAACAATATCCCATTGCACAATTTATCACAATGTATTTATCTACATTAATAACACTTTATGACTATGTTAATTTTTCCTGAATCATAAAATTATATTTGAATGAAAGAATAAATTATGTCAGAGTAGATAAGCCTTCAACCAGGAGTGGAAATGTCTGTCATGATAAATGTTATATTTAGACGTGTTCTCTAGTGTTTACTCAGTTAATGGTAGGGACTTAAATTATAGCTAAATGAATAGTCTTATGTGTAAGATAATCAACTATTATGAAAGAAATTGATATTTGTACAAAAAATAATGCCTAACTATTCCAGAAATTTGGCAAATTGTGAGGCTGATTAACAACTACAAAGCTCTGTAATAACACATCTTACTTTCATACAAAAATAATAACCAAATTGCTGTATAAGATTCAAATATATGATTATTCATACACACATTACAAACACATGCACACACCACACACACACACACACACACACACACACACACACACATATATATATATGAACTATGAACTACATGGTGACCATAACTTTTACACTAGTAAGTTTCTGAACATTTTCTTCCTAGCCAAGTCATTAAGGAGTAGTATGAGGAGGAAATTAGAAGTCTTCCAGCTTTGGGCTCATTTCTGGAATTTAAAGGCAAGTTTTAGTTTAGTAGATGTTGTAGGTCATCCTGTGCTCTGTAAACCATGATATTCTGAGAAATGTAGAGACGTGATAACACTCTGTTCATCTTCTAACACAGACTGGATTTGTTATGTGTCGACGAATGGTCTGTGACTGTGAGAACCCCACAGTTGACCTTTCCTGTTGTCCTGAGTGTGACCCAAGGTTGAGCAGTCAGTGCCTGCATCAAAACGGGGAAACCATGTACAACAGTGGTGACACCTGGGTCCAGGATTGCCGGCAGTGCCGCTGCTTGGTAAGTTAAACAGGAGAACATCCCTTCTAGAGTGTTGACAGTCACAAACACAAAACCTGGACAAAAAGATGGAAAGATGAAGCCAAAAACGTCATCTGGAGTGATGGAGTGGCCTGCACTGCGTACACTTTCTCTGAGATATCTACTTCTTGGGGTACTCCTAGCTTAAACTAAGAAATGCCTCTTATGGCTCCCTCCCATGCATCTTAGACTTGAAGATAATTATGAACAATGAATTCATGAAAAAGAAATCATTCTTTTCAAGTAAAATCATTAACCACTCTCTGTCAGTTCCTCACATGTAAAAAGCAAAACAAAGGTAACATTTTAGAGCTGGGAAGATGGTTCAGTGGTTAAAACACTTGCCTTAAATGGTGAGGAACAGAGTTCAAATCCCCAAAACCCAAGGAAATGCCACATGGGTATGGTGGCTTCCAGTAATCCAGCCACAGCAGGCAGGAGCAGATGGTCCCAAGCAAGCTTGCCAGCAAGATTAGTCATATTGATGAGCTGTGGGTCAGACTGAGGGACCCTGACTCAGTGAATATGGTGGAAGATCAAATAAGAATTCTTCATGCCATTAGTCTTAGGCATCTCTATCTGAATGGTCATCCCCATGCAATAAATTCACACACATGCAAAGTGCATGCATTTATACATGCATGTGCACATGCATTTCCTGGAAAATGGGAAAAAAGACAAGGAAATGTTTTGTTTTTTTTCCTAAAGATTGTTCCTGTCATAGTGTGTGGTTACTTTGTTCCACACACTATGACTGTGTGATAGTGACATATTAGGAAAGCTGTATGTATTTGTGAAACTTTTCTTTTAAATAACGGGCAAAGAGAAAAAGATTATATAGAGAGAAAACACCAACTCTTTCCAACTGACTCCATTTCTTGTGTGTCCCTGAAAGTGTAAATTAAAGGGAAAGCTACTGCATGTGTCTTTGCAGTAGAAGTGTCACAGGAAAGACGCCTTTGAAGTCATGACCAGTTTCCTTCCTGTTTGTGTGGAGATATTTTTAGGGTCACGCTTCTGTGTTGTCTGTCTTTTTGTCCTTTCAACCCAAATATCAATTGCAAGAACAAGGTCGGTTTTTGCACCCAAAAGCTGCTTTCATCTCTGAAACACTGAGGTTTAAAACCAAGAGGAAAATAGCAAATAGGTGGGACCTGCTTAAGGTCCAATTCACAGTTTCCTACGTGAAATAAGAGAGGGAAATCAAATTTTGTTTTGTCTCATTTTGTGCTGCTTTGTTGGGGGTGGCACATTCAAATTCCTTACACTGAAAAATGTGTAATTTAGCAAAGACATTGTCAAATTCTGTTTATATCTCATTTTTTGGTCAATGGATAAAGTTTTTCAAAGATTAATAAATAAGTTAGAAGGAAAAATTAAGACTATCTGAGGATCAGAGACTATAGAAATTTCTTCCACTATCCCTTGTCCTAAAGCCGTTCACATCTGTTTTGGAGAAATGGATGTTGCTTTTGTTTTAATGTCGTTCTTGTTTAGTCCTCAAATACTGTTTAAACATCCATTACAAAAGAGATGCCAGCATCCAGTGGGGCTTCTATAGGTTCTCTGAAGATATGTGGGCTTTGAAGACCTAAGTATAAAAATCACTCTCCTGTCTTTCCTTTTTTGCCTCTCTTCTCTCTGGTACATTCCCTTTGCCTCTCTCCCTCACAGCAAGGAGAAGTTGACTGCTGGCCCCTGCCTTGCCCAGAGGTAGAGTGTGAATTTAGTATCCTTCCAGAGAACGAGTGCTGCCCACGTTGTGTCACGGATCCTTGCCAGGCCGACACCATCCGCAACGACATCACCAAAACTTGCCTGGATGAGATGAATGTGGTTCGCTTCACTGGGTCTTCCTGGATCAAGCATGGCACAGAGTGTACTCTCTGCCAGTGCAAGGTAAGGCCACTGGGTGCAGGAGTGGGTGTTCTGCCAGCTGTACCCAGGGCTTGCAGATGACGGTGTGCTTCTCCTGGGTGATGGAGAGCTGGTCTCAACCTGTGCGTTGTTCAAGCAGAAGTCGAAGCTCAGTTTCATTAGTGCCACACCGACTGCCTTGTGCATTGAGATAGGTTTTCAGGGTAAAGGAGCTTGTGTATGTTGCCGCCAGCATTAGCAGTAGCAACAACTCAGTGTCCTAATGTAGCCAACCACATAGATTTCATTGCTCCTTTTATAGGGGAAGACAATATTATTTCATTGATTTTTATCTGGTTCTTTTATGAGTTCCATAAAATATATTGACAAAGTAGATACATTACATTTTCTAAAGTGAAAATCAATCTGGCAAGAATGGGTGTGTCTCTTGGCTATTGTGGTCAGCTATACTCAATTGAAGAAGTTAGAGTCTGATGCTTATTATATTTTATTCCTACAGTTGGTAAAAATCATTATAAAGATTTTTTTCACTTTACTCTCATAGGAAAACAACATTATGCCACTTACTTCAGCAACCACATGTAATAATACAATGTAGGCAGCACTGTGACTAGGTTCAAGAAAGCAACTTGATTAATATCCATATAAAAATTAAACTTAGTGAGGTCACTTTGTACCTCATAGTCATAATTTGGAGATTAACACTAAAACATAACCAATAATATTAAGGGCTTAACAACAATAACAGATAAAGATGTCAAACTACTTAGCACTGCTTATCTGTGTCTGCTCTAACTTTTAGTGAGCCTTTCCTTTTTATAATCAATAGAACTCCTTCATTCATATTCACTTAGTGCGATTTCTCACTAGAAGGGCTCAATGCAACAGGACAAAGAAACCTAAAACACTTGAAACTTTGAGATGTCTGTTATATCTTCTTCAAAGCCTCACTTCTTGTTCTTTCAATAAATGCAATTTGTCAATCTAGATTTTGAGTGCACATTTGCTACCGTTTTCTGAAAGTGCACCAGCAAATTTGAAGGAAGACTCTTAATATGTTACTCCCGATGTATATGCAGAATGGTTTTGTGTTTGATATGAGTATATTTAACCACGTACATATCTAAATTACAGCACTGGTGTCCAGCAGGTGTTTTTCTTTTGGCATCTAACTACCAAGTCAACATGAGTCTTCTTACTCCTTTGAATTGTTACATCGGCTGTTCTTGCACATTGACAACAAACATATATAACAGGTGGTAGGATAAAGGTTACATCAAGTAAAGCCCAGACAGGATTCTGCAGGAAACAACCATGCTTTTAAGGGTTATTGCCTGTCACTCATTGCCTTCTAAATGATAATGCACTCTTTTGATGCTTGGTAAGAACGTCTTCCAGAAATTATATTCTGTTGATGAATCCCTGTTTTTGTTGGTAAGTACTGATTATGTGGCTTATAAGATTATGTTCACTTTTTGCCAAATTTATTCAAAATATCCATTTGTACTATTTAATTCTGTGTTATTTTTAAAATGAAGGTCAAGAAAATAAGCTTTAGACAGAGCATCAGAAGCAAGCACTCTCTACAGTTGGTTGTTTTTGAGCACCAGTTCTGTCCATTCTCCTCTTGTTCCCCCTGTTTAAAGTTGTTTATTCTAGTCAATAAATACCAACGAAATTGAAAGTATGCCATTTAGTTTAGTTTCTGTAACATTATTTGTACTTACTGTATACCACTGGAATTAACATAAAAATCCACTCAATAATCTAAATGCTTAAAAATGGCATGGGCCTTGTGCTTATTCCAGAGGTGATGACATGTAGACACAGTCAGTCATTCCTGAAAGTATGTGTGTAGTAGCTTATTGTCTGTATTGAGCTGTGTTTTGAGGCCTTTAATGTGAACTAAATAGTTTACAATTCAGATTCTCATCACACTACCCAAATATTCATTTTCCAATAGCCTGCTCTGACTGCTGACTGTCATATTAAATGACATATGTGGACAACAATATTTTTCCTTGGATATAGGATCTCTCACATCTCAAGCTGTTATCAATCTTGTTTTGTAGCAGAGACAATGACCTTGAACTTCTGGTTCTTTTGTCTCTCCCTCACACTGACTGCATGACTATCACACATTACCACTCCTGGTCTATGTATTGTTGGGCACAGATACCAGCTTTATGCATGCTAGACAAGCACTCTGCTAACTCAGTTACATGCTCAGCACAGGCAGAAAACATTTTTATCACTACACAATATTATCTGGAACAAAGCTGCCAGAGATAAAAAACTCAGCCTGAGAAATCAGACTCCCGAGAAGGAAAGACTCCATCAACTGTGTTAATTGTGTGACAGCAGAGGACCTGACTTAGTTTCTTTGTGGCTCAGCTCACCTAAAAATGAACATAATAACTACTTGAACCATACCATAGAGAGGGTTGCTGTAAGGATTAAGCGAGATAATTCACACAGAAAAATTCATGGATTGCTCAGGATTTTAAGAGTAAGTAACCAATAAATGTTGGCTGTTACAGTGTAAAGTAGATAAGCCTTAATACTATCATGCCAGAAATAAAGACATTACTGTAACTATGATGGAGACAGGAAAACCATGTGAAGGCAAGAGGCTGCGCAACTTGCAAAGTGTTATATACTGAGGAATCAGTATTTCCTTTGTAAGATAGATCTAGACAATAGAAATTACTTGAATGAAGCAGTACTATATTCCCTTTTCCCTTTTTAAAAATATTGTGTATGTGTTACAGGCATGTGTGTGTGCAAGTGTACATGCCCATGTATTCACAGAAGCTAAAGGAGGACACTGAGTGTTCTGGTGTACCACTCACTACCGTATTCTCTGGATACAGGGTCTTGCACTGAATCTCGAGCTAGGCTGGTGGACAGCAAGCCCCCACGATCCTCCTGCCACACTCAGCAATCCTGAGTTATAAGTGTGTATGGCCAAGCCCACCATCTTATGCGGTGATGGGGACTTGAACTTAGGTCCTTGTGTTTGTAAAGCAATTACTCTTACCCACCGAGCTGTCTCCCCTCTCCTCACCTTTTATCTTTCTGGATTTATGGTCAAATATAATTTTTTAAAGAACCAAGTTGTATCCACCATTTAGAAGTTAAACTCTGGAATTAGGAGTGAATTACCTTTTCCTAAATAGACAAACAGCTTTATGATTGGTCAGAGAGTCTAGAGCTTTAAGCAATGGAATGAACTGACTCACTGAAGGCTCTTTGCTTGAGCAAATCTTCACTGGGCAGAGACCTTTGGGATTGGGAATTAGGGGTCTTTAACTAGCTACTTACGAAGGCCAAATGACTGGGGTCTGGTTTCAGAGTGAAGCTGCTGAACTTCTAAATATCACCATCATCAAAAAGAAACTTAAAAGATGAAGGAGTGACAGTGACCTCTATGCTAGCTAGTATCTCATAGACAGAAAGAAAATCCCACAGACAAGTAGCATTGTAACAAACTGCATCAAGAGACCTTGGGAAATAGGTGTGGAGGAAAAACAGATTACATTAAAAAAAACTATCCTCATTTGCTCTCTATTGCCATGATAAACACCATTGTTAAAAGCATATTGGGTTGGAAAGGGTTTATTTGAGCTTATACTTCCAAGTCAAGGTCTATCTTTGACTGAAGTCAGGCAGGAACTGGGGTAGAGACCGTGGAGGAATACTGCTTTTTAGCTGGCTCTGGCTAATGTTCAGTCAGCTCTCTTATAAAACTGAGGACAACCTGCCCAGGAGTGGTACTGACCACAGTGGCCTGCCTCTCTCAAATCAACCAGTATTCCAATTTCTCACACACATAACGGTAGGCCAGTCTGTTCTGGGCAACCCCAGTTAAGACTTCCTCAGATAAGGCTGCACTGTGTTAACAACTGAAGCTAACTAGAACACCAAAATTTCTAGATGACAATTTGAGGGAAATAACTTCAAATATAACAGTATATTCCACTGAAAAAGAATTATAAAAGTAATTCAAAACAATGACAATATAATTAAATATTTATCAATTTTCTAGACAAGAGATTCATTTTTAACCTACAAGTAATAAAATATAACTCAAAGGAGAAAAATTGAGTTTATACAGAAAAACAAAATAACAAAATGAAAGGTCACAACTGGGAAAATACTTTAAGCATTTTTGAACTTTTTGTTAGATTTGAAATATACAAAAACTAATGAGAAAACTCTCATTGCCCCACAAATAAATCAGAATAAACAAATAGTTCTCTAAAAATCACATAAGAGAAATCATTCAATGTTTAAATAGCATAAATGTAAACCCTCATAAGTCATTACTTTTATAATAATTTCCAAGGCTGACAGAAATGCCAAGCTTTTAGTCTCGTGAGCTGTTGATGTCTGTGAACAAACCATGTCAGCTACCCATAACCCCATCCACTCCATCCCAGTCTGAGGATCTAACCTAAAGACACAGTCTAAAGTATGAACCAGCTCTGTGCATAGTAGAGTTGATCTCAACATTGAGTTTAGCATGAAAGGGACAGTGGTAACTACTCAGCAGTAACCACAGCTGAGAAGTAGCAGTGTCTCAAGTCACTTTACTGGTGTAGCGATTCCTCAAGTTATATACCGTTACTATTCCTGGGAGACTGTCCTCTGACTTCTCCAAACCTTCTGTTTGAGGTATAGTCATGTGTAGCTGCCAGACTAGGGAATACCTTAGCATCAGTCCCAAGTAAAAGGGAATCACACAGTAGATTCCCATTCCTTTAAGGCTGAACCCCCACTAGTGCCTGCCTGCCACTCTTCATGGCTCCCAGTTATCTTTATGTTTTGTCCAGACTAGTAATCATGGATGTTAATTCATAGAATAAATTCTGCCATTGCTGAATCTGGAATACCAGGGGATGTTTCCTTGGGCATTAAAGCATGAACTAATAATACTTTCCCAGTTGAGAAGCTCCGATGATACAGATTGTAGTGCATTTTTCCCTACAGCAGGGAACTTGCAGACAGGGACTAAGAAAACATGTCAAAAGGGTGTTGGAAATATGTCTTTTCCAGAAGCATGCATGGGAACAATGGTGATGACTTCCCCTCACAGCATCCTGATGCCAGTTGCACACAGTGAGAGATGCTGCCACAAATTCTCCACCATTCTGTTTCAAAACCACACAGTTTGAGAAGCTGATGGGTAACCTAGCAACAAGGTCATGGATAGAAAACCTCCACCTCTGAGCATGATGTCACAGTTGTCAGTGCTACCACGAGGCTGAAAGAGGGTCCAGAACAAGAACTCTGACAAATATCTGAGCAAAGATAAGGATTGGCTTTAACACGTGCCACTCTGCTTCGTTATAGACTAGATTGCTTCCGCATTTGAATGTTTTGCAAAGGCTGGAATAGTAAAATACATTTCTGTAAAATTATCTATAACACTTGATTTTATCACATAAATGTATAATAACCTTTTCACTGCCTAAAGTCATTGTCTGAGAGAAAAATCCAGTAGAGAGATGAGAATTAGACACAGATTTAACCTGCTTTACCCCAGCTCTCTCATTTACTAAGCTGTGTAATTTTGGACAGGACTTTAGCCTTTCTGTTCTGTTTCTGAACTGAAAAGTGTGGTTGTCAATGGTGATTCCACTGCAGCAGTGAAATTAGGAAATGTATTTAGGACACATGGCAAAATGTCTGGCAAAGTGCGCCATCCTGATGTGTAAGGATTTTTCCTCCCTGTATTACCATGGCAATCACACCAATTGTCATTAGTTAGCTAGAAAGACAGTTGGAAGAAACAAAAGAGGGAGGGGTTTTGCTTCTTTGCAGCTATACTATTCTAATACCCTAGTGTAATAAGTAGTTTTTCACATCTGTCTCTGTCCTGCTTCTCCCACAAACACACACACACACACACACACACACACACACACACACATTTCAACTTCACACTGTTTCATAAGTTTCACCAATTTAAATGTCCCATTTGGACCACTTTTTAGTTCTTTCTTACTTAATGCAGATGTTCAAGATTTGGTGAGTGTATATATCACTGCAAAGTCCTTGTGCCTCGTGCCCGGCGTCTACTTTTCCTGCCACTGTCTTCTGCTCTTGGCTTAACTGTCACATCTTCAGGAGGTCTGCCCTGGGCACCAGCCTCAGGAGAGAGAGGACTTTCATTGTCTCATCATTGTCTAACATATTTTCTTTTATCTCTTGAAGCTGAAAGGGAACACCTTCAGCTGGACACCATAGATAACAGAAATGTATTCCTTGTAGCTCTGAGGACTGAAAAAAAAGATCATTTTCAAAATCCCAGATCAAGGTGTTAGCAGAACTAGAGTCTGACAATCCATTCTTCCAGCTCTTCTGTGTGCTCTTCTTATTGTAGCCTCACATGATAGCAAGTGAGGAAGGAGGGAGGGAGGGAGGGAAGGAGGGGAGGGAGGGAAGAGAGAGAGAGAGAGAGAGAGAGAGAGAGAGGGAATGTTTCCATTTTCTTCCAGTATCTCATATAGCCTAGGCTGGCCTTCATCTTGCTATGTACCATGTACCTGGGGTTGACCATGAACTCATGATCCTCCTGTGTCTAGCTCCTGAGTACTCGGATTGTGGCAGAGAAGGCATCACCCTTATACCCTAATTAACTTCACAATGCTTCATCTCCTCATATTATTGCACCAAAGATTAAAATGAGAATGTTGGTTTTGAGGAGACACACACTTTTTCTCCAAACACTTTTCTGGCACTTTCCATTATTGTTTATTACATGTTTTTGATATTTACAGTTTTCCTTCCAATAAACTGCAAGTCCTATCCTGTAGTCAATGAATAAGTCTGCATTACTTGTCTAAGTTTACTCAGCACATGTTGTGAATAAACGGACAAATGTAAAACAAGAGAATGCCCATGGGTTATAAAAGAGAATGTTGGTCGATCAGCACAAGGATGGGGTCTGTAGGAATGCTCTTAGGAACAATTTAATTATTCGGTTTTCAGAACTTCAGAAATAACACCAACCTGTATACACTTGTTGGTATGTGCTAATCAAAAGTGTGAGAGTTCATGAATGTGTTGAAAACTCACTGTCTGTTTCCCTTTCTAGAATGGCCATGTCTGCTGCTCAGTGGATCCGCAGTGCCTTCAGGAGCTGTGAAGTGAACTGCCTCTGGGGAGATATCTGTTTAAAGAATGTTCTTTCATTTAAAAAGACCAAAAAAAAAAGTGATTTGTGGCCAGCCCAATACAGCTTTGTTAATGGCTGGGTAGATGGATGTCAATGACGAGATTTGTGGAGCTTGAGGAACATCTCTGAGGAAACTAGATGACAATTCTGCCTTTACTGTACCTGGTATCATCTTGTAGAAGAATGGGTGTGGAACACAACCCCTGGATAAGATGCCTGAGCCTGTCAGGTCTGTGAAAGCTGCCAGCTAGATCCACAGGTGCAGGACATGGTCTTCTAGCTCAGAATCATCCTGAATTGGCAAGGTTCCTCACTGAAAGAGGCAGAGGTGAGGCAAGTGAGCTATAATCCAGAAGCTAAGAAGCTGATGCATCTGTACAGTGCACTCTGAAATCTGAAACAAGCTATTGTAATGATAAAAATAACGCGCAGGCATGGTTGCGTAACATTTTCTAACAGGAAGTCACCCCCAGTTCCTTGTTTGACTGCACTCAATATTATTTGGTTGAATTTGTTCAGTATAAGCTTGTTCCTGTGCAAAATAAAATAACTATTTCTCTTACCTTATTCCAGGTGAGTCAGTGTCTCCTTGAGTGTGCCCTGCATTCTATAGCCAGTTTTAAATGTGAATCACTTTCTAGTTCTGCTGGTGACAAACACTCACTGTGTTATTTCCATGGTGAATGGTGATTTTCATTCAACTCTATGCCTAAGTTGGTGATGAGGAAGATGGATGCCTCAGTCCATCTTTGGACCTTCAGATTCACTTCTGTGGTCCTACTCTCTAGCCTAGGGATTATTGTGGAGGGTACAGAAGGTACTAATGGCTTCTCTTTGCTCTGCATTCTCCTTTAGATTCAATCACATTACAGTTGGGGACACTAAGAGCATTTGAGGAGAGGGCAAAAGATGGGCATTTATTCTACTGGGGCCCTTCCTCCCAGATGGTCATTATGATGGACTCTGTCATTTTACTAAAGGTTACCTACATCTTTAAATAGGTGGTCCTCTCTCTCCTCAGCCACTCTCTTTAGGTTCTGAAAACCTGCCTGCCCCTTCCATCTGAGAGCTGGTAACACCAGCTGCTCCATCCTTAAGAGATAACTGCTTCATTTCTTATTGCTGTCCCCATTTTGACTCACATTTTTGTGAATGGTCCCTTTGAACTCTTTAAGTAGCCACATTACATGCCATCTGTTTCCTACGAGAATGCTGACATGAAGAGAGGAGTGTGTGAAGGTTGTGAATGCCTTCAAGAAGTGGTCCTTCAATTTTTGATATATAACTGCCTCTCTATTACACGCCATCTGTTTCCTACGAGAATGCTGACATGAAGAGAGGAGTATGTGAAGGTTGGGAATGCCTTCAAGAAGTGGTCCTTCAATTTTTGATATATAACTGCCTCTCAGGATCAGAAGGGATCGTCATATCCCACACTAATCTAATTCACCCGAATCTCAAGAAGATGAGAATCATAGGCAAGCTGATATCCACTAGCAAGTCAATGTCATATGGCTTTCTTCTTGTGAGTTCAACTGGTGTGAAAAGGAAGCACAGGTGTTGTCAAATTCATTCTTCATTGCACAGAGTTATTTTTCATTAATGAAAGATACAGAGGTGGACAGGCAATGAGCACTTCAAGCCACAGAGCAGGGATGGTGGAGGAACTATCGGCTACTGCCTCACCATTGCTGTGGAGCAACCAACATGAACTGAGCAGGGGAAATGTACAAATATCTAAGTACGGTGTCATGGGAAATATTTATTGCATGTGTACATTTAAACATTTAAGTATCTTTGCATTTTCTGGACTCATCACAATGCGCCTCTGCCCCTCATTAAGCTTATATTTAATTTAAAATATTTGCACATAAGGTTTCTCTCTTTTGGTCAGCCATGCTACTCTGATAGACAGCAGTTTAGTTCCCAAGAGAATAGATGTTAAGCAGAAGGTTTTACATAATTTTCATTACATATAATCTGCATTCTGTTTTGAAATCTCCTGAAACTATTTTTCTTGCTTTTATGAGAATAATATTAAGTGTGTGTGTGTGTGTGTGTGTGTGTGTGTGTGTGTGTGCATGAGTGTGTGAATGCTCATGCATACACTATGGCTATATTCAGTTATTTATTTATGCATGTCTTTCTAGGAGGAGCAAGGCTGGAATCCCATATCCTAAGTCATTTTTAAGTCTCCTTCTGGCTATAAGAATATTGGTGGTTGGCAATAGCCCAGCCTTCCATAGGTCACCAAATGAGAGAAAACTCAAAATTTAGAGAAGGACGAGAGGACACGAGGGTCCTGTTAGTTCTCTTAATTCAATGAGTCCATTCATAGGGATTAACCTTTTTTGAGACTTATAAATAGCAGGCCCCAGGGAGATTATTATTTCATCTGCAGAACCCTAAAGCAATAATTAACTATTCCCTAAGAACATATTCCCTTTTAAAAGAGATTGTTAATGCTTTGTTTCTCACTCTGTGATAATTGGAGACAATGTCATGGTTGAGCTATGCTAGCATTATGGGAATGTGAGAGCCACATGGCATGCATTGAAGCTGAAGGCACCTGGCTCTTTTAGTAGGAAGCCGTGGGAGTGGTAGACCTTACTATCAATACCGTTCCTTTAGTTCACTTTCCCTGAGATTAAAAATAGCACAGATCATTCAAATATGGTTACCTAGTGAGTAACATATATTGAATTGTATCATTTCCTTCTTCCCATTTTTTTAAATTTTTATTTTATTTTATTAGTTCAAATTAGGAACAAGCTTGCTTCAGATGTCAATCCCTT